CAATTACACACTTTAAAACACTTCGACAGACGTGTATCCCTTCATTCATCTACAAAAAACACAATTTAAGGTCAGATTAAGCCATACGCTTAAAAAAAACACCTAAAAGTAAGTCGTTAAGTAGATTTTTTGTACAAGACTAAAGGGACACATGCCCATGAGTAGTTTGGGAGCATGGGAATGATTGAAAACTAAATTTGACTTTTGAAAATCTAACACCAAAAACGGCCAGAAGAAGACAAAGGTGCATCTATATCTACCACTAGCATGGACCACGTTTCTTTTGATGTCCAGTTTTGCGGCTAAGCATTCGTGGAGCACAGCGTGCAGAAGCAAGCGCCTGGTTGACCTAACTTCCTGCTCCAGCTGCTAAATGGCTCACCATCTCGCCCCGTCTCCTGCAGCCAGTTCATGAACTGCATTGTACCTACTCCATGCTATTCCGTTCTCTTCAAACATAAAGTTAAATTTATTTATTTTTTTACTTTAACACGCCTCTCCGTTGAATAGAGCTGTAAACGGAGCAAGGTGACTCTCCGTGTAGAACTTCAGCACTGAACAACAATCTATCTGGAGACTTGAGCAAGAAGGAGAGGAGCTTTCCTAAGACCCGCCCCCTTCTTCTTCTGATTGGCTAATACTGTTAGTTTCAGAGCGCTCCTTTGCTACCATTGGCTGACAAACGCAAGAGGGATTTCAATTGTCTTTTTTAAATTTATATACCATCAATTTATTTTCAAGTGATTTTCTTTTTACCCACGGGCAATCGCTATGAGCGATGGGGCCGGAATACTTTAATCCCTGCTTAAGTGAATTTTTGGTACAAAACTAAAGTGATAAACTAAAGAGATAAGCTAAAGGGATAAAGGGGCATGCTGCTCTGACAGAACAGCAGCACTGCTCAGTGCAGTAGGTGTGTGGGGGGGAGGGGCCTGCCCAGGGCGCCATTCATGCAGGAACCGCTACTGTAAATCAGAAATGTTGCAGAAACACTTCATCAATAAAACAGATCTACGTTAAACACATATGTATTTTTATTTCTGAGTTTTCTCTCATATTAACCTTAAAGAAAGCTGCTTCCCCAGAGGAGCTTCCAACTAGCATAACTTTGCTCTCTAAGCTAACTTCTCTGGGTTGCTTTTAAAGACGTGGGGAATTACAGCTTCACCTACAACGTGAGCACCGTTACTCTCTTTATCCGCACAGAAAAAGGAAGTGAGACGATAAAAAACACAAATATTTAAAGGCGACCATTTTTATGCTAAAAATCGCCCATCAGGTCGAGGATAGCCGCACTGTGTCTTGGCGCAGCGCCGGTTCGAAAGTAAAAGTTTCCGTGTAGCACCTGAACGCAGCACTAACCAGCACCCATCCACGGCCGCTGGGATGCACGCTGAGAGCCCAAATCACCGTCATTTCACTGCTGCAAACACCGACACGCGAGGGGGGTTCGCCTCCCCGCGAGAAACAGTGCGTGCTCACGGCCACGAGTGGGTAGAGCAGAGTTATTATATTTGAGCTGAACTCACCGTTAGTTGAATGTTTTCTGACAGCTTTGTTAGGAAGTCCCCGGAGCGTCGCTGTCACTGCTGTGGTTCCGCCCACCCCAAAGCCTGCGCTCTCTCTGCAGGCCGTACACGCACTCAGCCCCGCCCCGGAAACGCTCACACAGCCAATCACAGACCTCGCTTGCTGATTGGCATTTGTTTCATTCAATCAGATGCTTCTGTTGTCCTGACTGACCATGCCGCTGTCCAGAGGCAGCTCCTCAGCCATGAGTCACTTCTTCCTTTTTGTTGGATGTACTTTTGACAGACACTCTCTGCACACAATGGAGAACTTTGATTCCTTTTACGGCACCGATTCGGTCCAATAGCCGAGAGGAACGACTTTAGGGCCGAGGAACACGCCCTATAACCCGCCCTGACGTAGGAATGTCAACCGGGTTGAAGGGAATTAACATCCAGGGTTAAAACACAGCGACAGTCTGGTACAACATGGCAGACTAATATAAACACAAAGATTTATTGAAAAAATACTGAATTAAAACAGCGCTGTTCGCTGTTTGATCATGTGAATATAAACACAAAGATTTATTGAAAAAATACTGAATTAAAACAGCGCTGTTCGCCTTTTTGTGGTTATATACACCCAACGCTGTTTTTATCATGTGAATAAAAACATAAATCCGAATTTGACTGAAAATGATCACTATTTACCCCGTTAGCTTTGAAATGCTTAGAGAATAACAGGGAAAAACACATTGAAAGTTTCAGAATATTAATCAGATTGGTTTTAAACTAGTGTTATACTGACATCTAGTGGTGGGACCCGTAAAAAGCACAGCCCAGTGTCCCAGGATGAGACAACATAACACACATTATTAATATCTAGCTCAAAATGTCACCCAGCCAGTTCAATGAAGCTGCATGGCTGAGGAGAAAAAAAAAAACAAAACAAAAAAACAACATTAGAATTAAGTAGAAACAGGGGAATATAAGTCAAAGTCACAACTGGTCACTTTAATTGGACTTTTCACTTTATTTGGATTTAGTTTTTACATATACATAGATATAC